AACTCAAAAAAACTGCAAATAATTACATTCAAATATTAACAGAATTAAAACAAAACAAAAATTAACAGGCAAACACAAACTTGCACAAAACACTTAAGTACTTTGTTTAAGTTTGTGAAAATGTTTAAGTTTACACAAAACTTACACAAAATACCCATGTCACAATCTCACTTACACATACACATATTACATTCACAAGCTCTCACAATATTATATAACTCCCAAACTCACTTTCTCAAACTTACACAAACCTGCAAAAAACACATTAATTACCACAAACTTACACATAATACTCATTTCACATATAAAAACACATGCAACACGCAAACTTGCATAAACATATCTATTTCACACACACAAATACAAACATATATTAAAAACAACATGCACAAATGCACATTCAACTATTTCACCAGTCCTAACTTAGCTGTCCTAACCAAACCTAACTTATCTACCCTACCCTAATTAGCTGTCCTAACCTAGTTTACACAACCTAACTTGCCTATCCAAACTTACCTAAGTTACTTAACGTATCTAACTTAACCAAACCTATGGAACTTACCCAATCTTACCAAATCAGAGTAATAAATGTCTCTGAATACATGTCAACACAGAACAACACAAGTCACACTCCTTAACACAGAGAACACAACACCAGTGATAGAACGACCACCAGGTCCAGTACACAGGCTGCCGCACCGTGGGCTACCCCTGACAGTGTACTGGGCACCGTGGGCTACCCCTGACAGTGTACTGGGCACCGTGGGCTACCCCTGACAGTGTACTGGGCACCGTGGGCTACCCTGACAGTGTACTGGGCACCGTGGGCTACTCTGACAGTGTATTGGGCACCGTGGGCTACCCCTGACAGTGTACTGGGCACCGTGGGCTACCCTGACAGTGTACTGGGCACCGTGGGCTACTCTGACAGTGTATTGGGCACCGTGGGCTACCCCTGACAGTGTACTGGGCACCGTGGGCTACCCCTGACAGTGTACTGGGCACCGTGGGCTACCATTGACAGTGTACTGGGCACCGTGGGCTACCCTGACAGTGTACTGGGTACCGTGGGCTACCCTGACAGTGTACTGGGCACCGTGGGCTACTCTGACAGTGTATTGGGCACCGTGGGCTACCCCTGACAGTGTACTGGGCACCGTGGGCTACCCTGACAGTGTACTGGGCACCGTGGGCTACTCTGACAGTGTATTGGGCACCGTGGGCTACCCTGACAGTGTACTGGGCACCGTGGGCTACCCTGACAGTGTACTGGGCACCGTGGGCTACCCTGACAGTGTACTGGGCACCGTGGGCTACCCTGACAGTGTACTGGGCACCGTGGGCTACCCTGACAGTGTACTGGGCACCGTGGGCTACCCTGACAGTGTACTAGGCACCGTGGGCTACCCTGACAGTGTACTGGGCACCGTGGGCTACCCTGACAGTGTATTGGGCACCGTGGACTACCCTGACAGTGTACTAGGCACCGTGGGCTACCCTGACAGTGTACTGGGCACCGTGAGCTACCCTGACAGTGTACTAGGCACCGTGGGCTACCCTGACAGTGTACTAGGCACCGTGGGCTACCCTGACAGTGTACTGGGCACCGTGGGCTACCCTGACAGTGTACTGGGCACCGTGGGATACCCTGACAGTGTACTGGGCACCGTGGACTACCCTGACAGTGTACTAGGCACCGTGGACTACCCTGACAGTGTACTGGGCACCGTGGGCTACCCTGACAGTGTACTGGGCACCGTGGGCTACCCTGAGTGTACTGGGCACCGTGGACTACCCTGACAGTGTACTAGGCACCGTGGGCTACCCTGACAGTGTACTAGGCACCGTGGGCTACCCTGACAGTGTACTAGGCACCGTGGGCTACCCTGACAGTGTACTAGGCACCGTGGACTACCCTAATAGTGTAGTGTGAGAAATATAGGAAAATTATATGACATTATAATGTGAAAATGTGAAATTATAGGAAAGAGTTTAATAGAGGTCTAAGATCCTATTCATATAGCCAAATACTCGTCAAAGTAACTTGGAACAAGTTGATCCTCTCTCGTCTTTATTACCTAGCAAAGTATTGTGAGACATATATACATCAAATGTCAACATAATAATAAAAATAATAATATTAATAATAATAATAATTCGTCTGAGCTTCAGTAGTAGTAAAGGAAAGCTGAAAATTCCAGCATAGCAGCAGTATAGTTGCTTTTGGAATCTTTTTCTTATTAGGGTTACTTACAGCTGGCTGGATAGAGCGTCTACCTCACACTCGGGCCCGTGGTTCGAGTCTCACAGACCTCAGGTGAATGAAATAATAATAAGAAGAAGAATAAGAAGAAGAATTATTATTATCAATTATTATTATTAATAGTTAATAATTATAAATAATAATTTATTAATAAATTATACTTTAATTTAATAATAAATTATTCCCATCTACCCTTTCCATCGTAATGTGTCTTAGAGGTGAGTTATAGACAAAGATGCGTTAGCCTCTTATCAATGTGTCTTAGAGGTGAGTTATAGACAAAGATGCGTTAGCCTCTTATCATGTTAAACCATCATGCAGCTATTGTAATCATTGTTTCTCTCAAATTAAAGAAAAGTAATATATGTTCCTTGAAATTATAGGAAAAAGAGGAGGTTTCAACCTCTCAGTGTTCTTCAAATATTGTATTTATTTACAACACCGAGTCTCCACGATTATACAATACCTTATACATTCAACACTATATTTTCTCTTAGGCAAGTTTTAGCTTAAAAAACATAGCAACACAATGGCCTCCCACTAACCACATTTCCCAGAAACCTTCCAAAACCCTTGTAAATAACCCTAACTAACAAAAATAGTAAGTAATATTACACTATCGCATTTTCAATAGGTGTCGTTATTAACTGTTTTATATAAACGAATACTAATGTCTTACATTTGCTAAAGGTTAGAACCGTAAGTCATTTTCTTACAGATACTGATTCAAAGTCAATCATTAAATTGATTGAGTTGGTAAGATTGGTAAGTTTCATAGGTTAGGTTAGGTTAGGTTTAGTTTGGTCTGTTAATAGAGTGACAGAACAGAACAGAATAACAAGTGGAACAGCAACAGAATAACAGAAGACAAAAGAGAATCACAGACGCGAAAGATAACAGATAATATCAGCAGCAGAACAACAGAAGTTAACAGCAGCAGGACAACTGTAGCTAAAAGCAGCAAACAAAAGCTAGCAGTAAGAGAACACCAGAAGGAGTAGGAACAGAATAAAAGGATTAAGAGAAACAGAATAACAGCAGGAGCAAGCACAAGAGAAGCAGCAAAGACACAACCGGAGGAACAGTAACAGAATAAAAGTGAAAACAGTATCATCTTAAGCAGACGAGCAGCCGTCGAATAACGGGAGAGAGAGAAGCAGCAACAGGCTGACGTAAGTAAAACAAAGAACAGAACAGGTGGCATGACATAACAGGAGGTGGCATGACAGAACAACAGGAGGCCCAATAACAGAACAAGGGAACTATCAGGAGAAAATCTGATAGTATTAGCTCCACAAACCCATACGGACGCGTGATGTTTTTTTCCCGCCACTAAAGCTGTTCAATTCGCAAACTTTGAGCGTGCAAATATAGATGCATTTAGGGGCAAGATCAGAGGTGTCCCGTGGGGTGCCGGGTGGGCGGCTGGGCGGGCGGGCGGGCTGGCTGGCACCCGCCCATGACCTCTGGGGAACTCCACCGCGACCATCATGCCTTCATCACATTATATTTTTATAGCGTGGAAATATCGAGTAACTATACCGGGCGAGCGGCTTCAAGACCCGTATCCCCCCGGCCCAGTGCGTCGCATTTCTAATGTCTCAAAAGCTTATTTCGGCACTCAACTGTCAATCAACTGGTGTGCAACAGTCTCTGTGCAACAGTCTCTTGTGGGGCACTGGACAAAGACTTGCTGCACAGCTAAAAATATACAAGTTGCTCATTCTGCTGTGTCTTGTCTGATCTATGTCTCCCGGTAATAGAATTCTATAATGTTTACGAGGCAAGATTTACTGTTCCTAGACCCATGCTGGTGGTACACACTGTTCCTGGACCCAAGCTGGTGGTACACATTGTTCCTGGACCCAAGCTGGTGGTACACACTGTTCCTGGACCCATGCTGGTGGTACACACTGTTCCTGGACCCAAGCTGGTGGTACTCACTGTTCCTGGACCCATGCTGGTGGTACACACTGTTCCTGGACCCATGCTGGTGGTACACACTGTTCCTGGACCCATGCTGGTGGTACACACTGTTCCTGGACCCATGCTGGTGGTACACACTGTTCCTGGACCAATGCTGGTGGTACACACTGTTCCTGGACCCAAGCTGGTGGTACTCACTGTTCCTGGACCCATGCTGGTGGTACACACTGTTCCTGGACCCATGCTGGTGGTACACACTGTTCCTGGACCCATGCTGGTGGTACACACTGTTCCTGGACCCATGCTGGTGGTACACACTGTTCCTGGACCCATGCTGATGGTACACACTGTTCCTGGACCCATGCTGGTGGTACACACTGTTCCTGGACCCATGCTGGTGGTACACACTGTTCCTGGACCCGTGCTGGTGGTACACACTGTTCCTGGACCCAAGCTGGTGGTAGACATTGTTCCTGGACCCATGCTGGTGGTACACACTGTTCCTGGACCCATGCTGGTGGTACACACTGTTCCTGGGCCCAAGCTGGTGGTAGACATTGTTCCTGGACCCATGCTGGTGGTACACACTGTTCCTGGGCCCAAGCTGGTGGTAGACATTGTTCCTGGACCCAAGCTGGTGGTACACATTGTTCCTGGACCCATGCTGGTGGTACACACTGTTCCTGGACCCATGCTGGTGGTACACACTGTTCCTGGACCCATGCTGGTGGTACACACTGTTCCTGGACCCATGCTGATGGTACACACTGTTCCTGGACCCATGCTGGTGGTACACATTGTTCCTGGACCCATGCTGGTGGTACACACTGTTCCTGGACCCAAGCTGGTGGTAGACATTGTTCCTGGACCCATGCTGGTGGTACACACTGTTCCTGGGCCCAAGCTGGTGGTAGACATTGTTCCTGGACCCATGCTGGTGGTACACACTGTTCCTGGACCCAAGCTGGTGGTAGACATTGTTCCTGGACCCATGCTGGTGGTACACACTGTTCCTGGGCCCAAGCTGGTGGTAGACATTGTTCCTGGACCCAAGCTGGTGGTAGACATTGTTCCTGGACCCAAGCTGGTGGTACACACTGTTCCTGGACCCAAGCTGGTGGTACACATTGTTCCTGGACCCAAGCTTGTGGTAGACATTGTTCCTGGACCCAAGCTGGTGGTACACATTGTTCCTGGACCCAAGCTGGTGGTACACATTGTTCCTGGACCCATGCTGGTGGTACACATTGTTCCTGGACCCAAGCTGGTGGTACACACTGTTCCTGGACCCATGCTGGTGGTACACATTGTTCCTGGACCCATGCTGGTGGTACTCACTGTTCCTGGACCCATGCTGGTGGTACACACTGTTCCTGGACCCATGCTGGTGGTACACACTGTTCCTGGACCCATGCTGGTGGTACACATTGTTCCTGGACCCATGCTGGTGGTACACACTGTTCCTGGACCCATGCTGGTGGTACACACTGTTCCTGGACCCATGCTGGTGGTACACACTGTTCCTGGACCCATGCTGGTGGTACACATTGTTCCTGGACCCATGCTGGTGGTACACACTGTTCCTGGACCCAAGCTGGTGGTACACATTGTTCCTGGACCCATGCTGGTGGTACACACTGTTCCTGGACCCATGCTGGTGGTACTCACTGTTCCTGGACCCATGCTGGTGGTACACATTGTTCCTGGACCCAAGCTGGTGGTACACATTGTTCCTGGACCCATGCTGGTGGTACACACTGTTCCTGGACCCATGCTGGTGGTACTCACTGTTCCTGGACCCATGCTGGTGGTACTCACTGTTCCTGGACCCATGCTGGTGGTACTCACTGTTCCTGGACCCATGCTGGTGGTACTCACTGTTCCTGGACCCATGCTGGTGGTACTCACTGTTCCTGGACCCATGCTGGTGGTACACACTGTTCCTGGACCCATGCTGGTGGTACACACTGTTCCTGGGCCCAAGCTGGTGGTAGACATTGTGCCTGGACCCATGCTGGTGGTACACACTGTTCCTGGACCCAAGTTGGTGGTACACATTGTTCCTGGACCCATGCTGGTGGTACACATTGTTCCTGGACCCAAGCTGGTGGTACACACTGTTCCTGGACCCAAGCTGGTGGTACACATTGTTCCTGGACCCATGCTGGTGGTACACATTGTTCCTGGACCCATGCTGGTGGTACACACTGTTCCTGGACCCATGCTGGTGGTACACACTGTTCCTGGACCCATGCTGGTGGTACACACTGTTCCTGGACCCATGCTGGTGGTACTCACTGTTCCTGGACCCATGCTGGTGGTACACACTGTTCCTGGACCCATGCTGGTGGTACACATTGTTCCTGGACCCATGCTGGTGGTACACACTGTTCCTGGACCCATGCTGGTGGTACTCACTGTTCCTGGACCCATGCTGGTGGTACACACTGTTCCTGGACCCATGCTGGTGGTACACACTGTTCCTGGACCCATGCTGGTGGTACACACTGTTCCTGGACCCATGCTGGTGGTACACACTGTTCCTGGACCCATGCTGGTGGTACACATTGTTCCTGGACCCATGCTGGTGGTACACACTGTTCCTGGACCCATGCTGGTGGTACACACTGTTCCTGGACCCATGCTGGTGGTACACACTGTTCCTGGACCCATGCTGGTGGTACACACTGTTCCTGGACCCATGCTGGTGGTACACACTGTTCCTGGACCCATGCTGGTGGTACACACTGTTCCTGGACCCATGCTGGTGGTCCATGGTTCAGATGTTGATGGTACACTCCGAACGATCTACCCAAAACGCTTGTCACTCAGCTTTGACTAGCTTGGTGTTAACATGCACTAATGGGTTAAATAAACTTTAACCAGCTTACTGCCTCAATATTCTCTTAAACTAAAGTACATTTAAAATGGCATTGAGGACCTTGCGGGATACCTTTCCTGAGAAAGTATGCATTTACCGACACTGGAGAATACTGTGGATGTCTGGTGAGTGGATATCAGCCCGTCCTCTAAAATTGGGGATGTAAATGTAACACCACAGTAAGTGCAATTATGTACTATGTATAACAGTCAGGAAATGTACTTATTACACTTAGTATTACACCGTACTGTCAGTTCGGAGGATGGGTTGCAGCATACACACACTAGGTCTGGGAATACGTTTACCGTGAAGACACTTGCATGTGTACTCACCTATCAGTGTCTACGGGAGAGTGAGGTCTAGCTCTGCATGCCCCGCCTGCTGGTCTTGTTACCTGGTACGATTCCGACCGGCTAAGGGAGCCGTCGGCCGAGCGGACAGCACGCTGGACTTGTGATCCTGTGGTCCTGGGTTCGATCCCAGGCGCCGACGAGAAACAATGGGCAGAGTTTCTTTCACCCTATGCTCCTGTTACCTAGCAGTAAAATAGGTACCTGGGTGTTAGTCAGCTGTCACGGGCTGCTTCCTGGGGGTGGAGGCCTGGTCGAGGACCGGGCCGCGGGGACACTAAAAAGCCCCGAAATCGTCTCAAGATAACCTGCTGCATTTCAACTTTACTATTCTGACTTTCAAATTATTTGTAAAATCATGCCTTGTCCAGTTCAGTGTTTTCCCCAGTTATCTCAGCCTGGTTCACCGTCTTGTATAGCAGTCTTTCATGGGGGGAACAGTGTCAAATGCTTTTTGACAATCTAGAAAAACTGCAGTCTACCCAAACTTCCTTTAATTGTCTTATTCTAGTAATAGTGTGTGTGTGTGCTCACCTAATTGAACTCACCTAATTGTGCTTGCGGGGGTTGAGCAATCGGCTTTTTGGTCCCCCCCCCCCTCCCTCTCAACTGTCAATCAACTGGTGTACAGATTCCTCAGCCTACTGGGCTCTATCATATCTACATTTGAAACTGTGTATGGAGTCAGCCTCCACCACATTACTTCCTAGTGCATTCCATTTGTTAACTACTCTGACACTGAAAAAATTCTTTCTAACGTCTCTGTGGCTCATCTGGGTACTAAGTTTCCACCTATGTCCCCTTGTTCGTGTCCCACCCGTGCTGAAGAGTTTGTCTTTGTCCACCCTGTCAATTCCCCTGAGAATTTTGTAGGTCGTTATTATGTCTCCCCTTACTCTTCTGTTTTCCAGGGATGTGAGGTTCAGTTTAATTTCCTTTAGCCTTAGCCTTTAGTGTGTGTGTGTGTGTGTGTGTGTGTGTGTGTGTGTGTGTGTGTGTGTGTGTGTGTGTGTGTGTGTGTGTGTGTGTGTGTGTGTGCAAGATTAATGTGCCTCAGTGTTCCCCATGTGTGTGCTGGTGTTGAAGACAACGTACACGCCACATCTCTCAAGGCGTCCGCCCGGTGAGTCACCACTATAATATCACCTCCATATGTTCCCAGCCAAAATAAAACGAATATATTTATATTTAACACACACACACACACACACACACACACACACACACACACACACACACACACACACACACACACACACATACACACACACACGCACAGGATAAGGCAGGACAGAGAAGGCTGGGCAGACTGCATATTTCTTGACTGCCGAAAGGACTTTGATACAGTACCGCACATAAGACTGCTATACAAACTTGAGAGGCAGGCAGGAGTAAGCGGAAAGGCCCTAGCATGGGTAAGGAACTACCTAACAGGAAGGAGCCAGAGGGTAATGGTAAGGGGTGAGAAGTCGGACTGGCGAACAGTAACGAGTGGAGTACCTCAAGGATCGGTGCTGGGACCAATCCTCTTTCTAATTTACGTTAATGATATGTTTACAGGAGTGGAATCATACATGTCAATGTTTGCGGATGACGCAAAATTAATGAGAAAAGTTGTGACAGATGAGGATTGTAGGATCCTCCAAGAGGACTTAAACAGGATGCAGAGATGGTCAGGGAAATGGCTACTGGAGTTCAACACGAGTAAATGTAAAGTTATGGAAATGGGATTAGGTGATAGGCGACCAGAGGGACAGTACACAATGAAGGGAAACTGCCTACCTGTAACGATTCGAGAAAGAGACCTGGGAGTGGACGTAACGCCTAATCTAACTCCTGAGGCACATATAAATAGGATAACGACAGCAGCGTACTCTACACCGGCGAAAATTAGAACTTCATTCAGAAACCTAAGTAAGGAGGCATTTAGGGCGCTTTACACTGCCTACGTAAGTCCACTCTTAGAGTATGCCGCACCATCATGGAGCCCCCACCTGAAGAAACACATAAGGAAACTGGAGAAGGTTCAGAGGTTTGCGACGAGGCTTGTCACACAGTTACGAGGGATGGGATATGAAGAGCGTCTGAAGGAATTGAACCTTACTACACTAGAGAAAAGAAGGGAGAGAGGAGATATGATAGGGACATATAAAATACTCAGGGGAATTGATAAAGTCGAAATGAAATGTTAACACGTTGAAATGTTAACACGTAATCATAACAGAACGAGGGGACATGGGTGGAAACTGGAAACTCAGATGAGTCACAGAGATGTTAGGAAGTTTTCTTTTAGCGTGAGAGTAGTGGAAAAATGGAATGCACTTGGGGAACAGGTTGTGGAAGCAAACACTATTCAAAATTTTAAAATTAGGTATGATAAGGAAATGGGACAGGAGTCATTGCTGTAAACAACCGATGGCTGGAAAGGCGGGATCCAAGAGTCAATGCTCGATCCTGCAAGCACAAATAGGTGAGTACACACACACACAAAGAACACTAATCCCACAACTAAGAGGCATGAGTTACGAGGAAAGGCTGCGTAAGATGCACTTCACGACACTGGAAGACAGAAGAGTAAGGGGAGGCATGATCACTACCTACAAAATTCTCAGAGGAATTGACAGAATAGATAAGGATAAACTTTTTAACGCGGGTAGTACGCGAACAAGGGGATACAGGTGGAGACTGGGTACCCAAATGAGCCACAGGGACGTTAGAAAGAACTTTTTCAGTGTCAGAATGGAATGCATTAGGCAGTGATGTGGTGGAGGCTGACTCCATGCACAGTTTCAAATGTAGATATGATAGAGCCCAGTAGGCTCAGGAATCTGTACACCAATTGATTGACGGTTGAGAGGTGGGACCAAAGAGCCAGAACTCAACCCCCGCAAGCACAAGGTGAGTACAAATAGGTGAGTATTCACACACACACACACACACACACACACACACACACACACACACACACACACACACACACACACACACACACACACACACACACACACACATATATACACACACACGTAGGGGCCTGAT